GTTCAAGGCGCGCTTCGATTGGTCGGATCGTTTTTTGTTTAGGCGAAACTTCACCGCCATGACGGATGAGTTATTCTTCTTCTTTTCCGGGGGTGGGTTTTTCCGCACTTCGAGTAATCAACAAATATTCGAGAACGCGTTTTTAGTATAGAGCATAGCTGGAATATATATATCGAGCATCTGTTTCCAACCGTGGGCATTCGGTAGCAGTTAGTCGAGATCTCGACGGCGTTTGTCGTTAATATTAAATATCCGGTGATCAGTTACATTTGAAATCTTCGTAATAACCATATTTTTACCGTCGTCTTAATCGCATCAGACGCGAAATCCTCTCATTCATATCTTATTAAGCGCTTCGGAATACAAGGTGATTTCAATAACTTTGAACTTATTTATACGTTTGTAAAATCAATATATTATACCTCATTAGCACCTGTAGCATCCATCGTGAACTTATTAAAATCCAATTCTATCGATAAATTACACGCACTTTTTTCACGTACGAGCGATTAAAAATTTTACCGGTGAATATTTTATAGAGAAATCACACACCCCGTATAAACGAAGGGATTAATAAGTGAATTATTTATGTAGATATGTAAAATAACCGGGTTTGTTGATACAGTATTTATTCGATGGCAGATATTTTGTTCAGTTCGGCTGCAACCCTATAAAATATGACAAATAAGCATGAAATGTGAGTGGTACGGTAGCAACATCGGCGGGACATCACGCGGAGAATTATCATAAACATCAAATAAATTAGTACAGATAAATTAGTTGTCTTGCCGGGCTTTATAATGAGCGGAGATTTACAGCCGAAGCGCTCACGTACGTCCGATGTGACGACCCGCTTTTTGAATTATGCCTTCCATTGTGACGCGAATCGTTCTCTTAGATTTCGTCGACCACCGCCTGAGAGGACTCTATTCTTCACCGAAATCAACTCGGGAAGAGCACGTTTTCCTCCCTTCATACTTATAACAAGATGCGTAATTCTCCTAGTTACTGACCACTGTAAACAGTACGATTTTAATAATGGCAGCGTCGCGACGCTTTGTGTGTTATCGAAAAAATAAATAGCCTTCGCTCGTTTCTCCTACGCCCGTTGGAGCCTCAGTCGCAGGCTCTTATTCGGTACACCGGCGTTCCGCGCGCTCTTTTTCGAGCCTTTATCGCCGAGCATGATGCATGGCGAAAGGCGAGGAAAAAAATCACCCACTTATCTCGCGCTTCGTAAATAACAAATACAGAAATTATGGCGGTAACTCACCGTTGATATTTCGTTTTTTCCGATCGCTTATTTCTATTTTTACATTCGACGAATCGAGCGTTATTATAAGCGTAATGACGGCTTTATTCGTTTAATTAAAAATATAATTGGGCGCGAGGAGTTTTCGCGAAACGATGAACTTTCTTGATGTTGATGTCGAAAAGACACGAGTGCTTTTTATTAGGCGACTGACTGTTCTATATTGACAAAAGTGTCTAGTGTCTCGTCTCCTTCTAGCCCCCGACCATAACCAAACATTCGGTCTGATTGCGAGAACTTGATTGCTTCAAATGAGCGAAATAACTGCCACAACTGCACCGAACTTTCCAGAATATACGACAGTTGTTAGAAGAAACTTATTCGATGCCGTTTTATACAATGAAAACATTTTTAGTGTTATGACGCGAATTGGATACACCAGCGCGGACGAAATTCGCGAAGACCCTTAAGATTTTACTACTAGTTGCTGATAAATTAATTTAGCAATGAAAATTTAAATAACAGTTACCACATCTCTTCCCATCTCTATCGAATTCTTTGCTACATAAATAATATAATGTATTTTAAAATATTGTAATATAAACAATAATTTACGTATACTATTGCTTATCTATATGTATCAAAGTCGTGATATAAGTTATATATTTTATTGTTATTCTAAATAGATTTACTTACTAGTTTATTCGCAATCTTATTATTGCTAATAATCGATTTATCAATTTATCACTACAAACGAAACTTCTTAATCACAATAATAATATCTATAACTTTTATTTACAATGATATCCGATATATTAACTGATATTATATTAGCATAAAGATAGGAGTGTAGCAAAATAAACTGTTAGTTAAAATAAGAAGTGACATAAAATCTCGTTAAATTCGTCCCGAAATAACGAGTAGAGTCATCAAATTGGGCGATAAACATAAAAGTACCACGACGAAATCATATAATATGTAGATCAGGCCATAATGTTATGTAATTCGTGATAAATCTCCGGTATCTGTAGTAGATCCTTTGTGTTGGGGAATGTTCGAGTGGCAATTATTTACCTGAGAACAATGCCGGGTGAATATTTCATTAGACAAGAAGGTGTTGGGCATAAATATCCAACCCCCACCCGACGGCATCCACTCATTCTTTCCATATACACATGCACATTTATATTTATAAACCCGCCCGTGTTCCAGAAAGCACGCCCGTCCCTTCTCGATAAACGGTTACGCAAATTTTTCGCGATTTTTTAAATAGCGGATAATTCTCCCAAACATCCGTATCCCCGCAACATAACATCCCCGATTTTTCCCGTTACGCCAACACCATGCATCAAATATTTAATGCCGAAACGTCAGTATCTTCCATCCCGAGTAAGATTTATAAGATAGCCTTAATGAAAGTGAGGTATTAAAAAGACGCCGTACGTTAGCTCCCTCTAACGACTGATTTTTCCCACCCCTATACGTAGTGCAAAAATTTCATCTAAATGGACCTGCAGGTAGCCTAAAAATTATTTTTTCTTGTACGTGATTAGTTAGTATAATTTACGATCCCACTTCTGATATTAGAGATTTGACGTTTGTGGCGTTGAATTTTTGCAGAGTTGCCGAATGTAAAGGGAGTGTATATAGTGGAGGAAAATGATTTTTGTCTCTCAAACTGTACAATCGAAACCACAGGAAAAGCTCTTGTTAAACGTTAAATATTAACGCTGGGTGGCAGTGATAAGTATACCGGGCCACTTAACGTTGAATTAACGCCTCGTCGTCACGGCATATACTACTCGATTTACACTGGATATTCGCCGGAATTACGGCAAGTGCGTGCCTTTTTCGTCGATACGCTCGTATATTCCTCAAAAAAATACCGTCTAATTGACTCCTTATCAAACATTCACCAAGGCTCCTCGCTTAAAAATTACAAGGGTATTTTTATTGGTGCATTATAATCGAAAACTTCCATCGCTGGGGTTCAATACAGCTTCCTCTGTGTTGTGTTCCCTTCTGGTTATCAACGTAGAATTATTTTATAATAACTTCCTTTTAAAACGTTTCAACCGGTCATTTACACTCAGTCAATTTTATCGCGAAATCCATTGAAAACAACTCAATTCTCCAATAGAGACTAAACGACCGGAGAAAGGACAAGTATCCATATTAGTCTATAAATTAAGTCATAATTTGTCAACCTCCAGATAGAAGAAACAAAGGCCGTTAAATCGAATCGAACAAGAGCGAAATAGTATTAAGATGGACAATTTTGTTTGTTTGATGGTCGAGTGTGACGTTTCGATCGTTCGCTGACTAACGATCGGAATATAGACGGCGAAATTATGAAAATTACTCTTCGTATGTCGTTCAGACCGAGGAATAATGGCTCCGCTGCACTTTTTAGATATACAGGGGAATATCACCGTCGATTTGCGGTCCCGTCGAAGAAGCTATTGGTAAACGCGAGGAATGTACACCCTGTATACCATTCGCTATATGGACCGAATCGTACGAAACAAACAAGCAAATATAATCGTTTAATTTATCCGGAATTATTTCGCGCGTCGGACGAGAAGTAAGAAGCAATCAAGAAAGTGCTGCTCGTACAGAATTGATGCATAAATTTGAATTCGCGTTTTGAGCGAGAGAGACGAAATTATTATATCTCGGGCTGATAATACGAATGACTGGGCGGCACAAATCACGATGTTGTAATGCACAAAACGCTTTAAATAATTTATCGAATTATTGAATGCTTCAAGTCGAACGCCCTTACCATTAATTATCCATTGTTGCAATCGGAGAAAATCGCCAGCGGTCAATTTATCATCAACGCGGAGATGGTTCTTGGGTTGACCCGGATGAATTTTTGACTATTCGTATACTTCTTGGTATTTATTTTGAAACTCCTCTTTTCTTCTCTCTACACTGGGGAAGATTCTCTTAATAATGTTCGCGATATATCTGTACGAATTACGAGCGGCGGTGGAATTTTATTCATATATTACTGTTGGAACAGTTTTATTTGCAAAACGCTCCAACAAAGTACCCCTTGCTTTTCCTAGTCGACTTGATAGAGGGAGAATTCCGTCGCAGATACGTCCTAACTTATAGTTGTGGATATGATTTAAAGGAGCACTAATGGCCCAATAAATACTGCCGACTTCAATACATAACGATCCTGTTCGTATACTCGATAAGAAGAGCACGGCATTAAATCGAAAAATAAATTTCTTCTTAGGCAAAACACGCGTCACTTGTCACACCTTGGCGTTGTTCGATTCGCCTAGTCGATGTGAAAAAATCACCTGATTGGAAATTTCTTAACGCATTTCCTCCGGCATCTCCCTAATATTTCACGTTGCCTGCTAAACTGACGGCCGAACTTTCAATCACCGTCAGCCAATCAATCGTTCTTTCCCGCTTGATATTTGACGTCAATGACGTGACAGCTGTATGAATGCGGACGTCGGGGAACCCCCATAGTCGACTCGTTACTCAAGGATCCAAAATGTCTTCAATTACTAATTAATTAGCCTGAAAGTAAGAATTAGAAGTAGCATAGAGTGTTTATATAAGTGTTATCGTTTTTTTTATTTAACAAACGTAAATTGTTTTTTTTTTATTCAATTTTATCTAATCTTATCAAATTTTTGTGGCGTTTCAATTCAAAATACTTTAACGTAATAAAAGCGTAGGTAACATATTCGTTTGTGTTCAAACGAATGAGCGTTAGTCAAAACTCAATTGGTTAATTTTTGCTACTTATTTACTGTTGAAAATCTACGGGGACACAAGCGAAATGTTTGAAGATGAAAAGAAATTCTCGGTGAGTTCGCAACCAGATCCGATTCTTCGTATAGAACGACCGGGAATGCACTGTCGCAATAAAGTACCGACGATGAAGAGGATTCGGGAATGGGAAGCGGAGCGCAAGAAGAACATCGACAAAACGCAATCCACAACGATCGAAGAAGCGGGGAAGGAGAGAAAAATGCCATGGTTTTTCTACATGTTCAAGAAGTGCTCCATGCAATCGTCTAATTGAATTTCACCTGTTATTAAAAGAAGTGAAGAAAGTTTGTGACATTCGAAACAGCTGTAAATACCATTGTTATCTGCGCACTTGAAGTAGGTGATGTTTACGAAGCGAATAAGATTAGATTAAGTCGAAAAATTCTGTGATATAAGAAAAGTGCAAGTACAATAAATTTTTATTCTCTCTAATCTCTTGCTAATTAACGGTCCTTGTGGAAAACACGCCGCCTCCACGTCTATGTATCAGCGAATGTTCTGTTTCTGATGGAAGCGAAGAGGAGAAACGCCTGACAAATGTGATTGATTGGAATCGATTACGGATATCTCAAAAATACAATCCATCCGCAGACTTCACCTCCTATTTCATATAAGCTACCTTCTTCTTCCTGCTTCCTTTGAACGATAAAGCGAAATAGAGCTTCGAAATTAGATTCAACGTCGAGAATCGTTGATCGTAAATCTCAGGTACAGGTATAATATTGTGGTTGTTTTCGTTAATAAATTACTTATTAAAAAAATAATTAGATACTTGTTTGTTTCCTATTCTTTGTACCAATCATAAGTTTATTTTAAATTGATTTGGATTCATTGGAGTTGGTCCAAAATCGTTGATTGATCTGTTTGCAATCAAAAATCTAGCTGCTGGATAACTATAGTAGTTATAAATGTTAATGGGGGGGCTAGAAAGAAACGCGCCATTCATATTTAGATCCGGGCATTCCAGATCGGTAAATCACGGACAACATTAGCGAAAAATTGTTTGTGCGCCATAAATTTCGACAAATTCTTCCATAAAAAGCCTTTAATTACAAAAAAGGAGCTTCTTTCTCTAAGCAAAACTACGATCCGACGGGCGCCGCGGCACTAAATCAAAGTGTTTTGCCTTTATCTGTCGTCTGTCCCGGTGGCATCCATCACGGCGGCTCCTCCTTCCCGTCCTCCGGATTAAAATCCGCCGAATGTGGAAACGCTTCCGCCTTCATCTCGTCTCATCTCATCTCCCCGATACAGATTAACTCGAAATGCCGCAGAAATCGCCATATCGAGCATCTCTAATATTATATCGAGCTAAACGGCAGCACGTTCTTGGTCGGTACGATCACACACATTAAATTCCTAAGTGACACAGTACGACTTCGGTAAACAGCTCCCTGTACTTGGTAAGTAGGCATTGACTAAGGCCAACAAGTCCATAGCACTCTAGATGCGTCGTCGCCGATTCCATCGCACTGTAGACCACATTTCCAATGCAGGCGAACCCTTTTATACTCCGGAATTTAACACAGCTCTATATTATATACGAAAGCGTTATTTATACTATATGAAACGAGGGTTAAGCAATACGAAACAAATCTATAGCGCCTTTTATTTGTATTACTTTAAAGGGATTGTTTGGTGAATAGTTTGGTCCATGTGGATAGGCGAAATTGAGTAAAGCGCGTCATTTATACCGCGGTACGGTATTAAATCTGCCTTAGGTAGAGGTAGTAATGTACAGCATGGATACGGGTACGACCGATGACATGTATTGTATTCAAATTATTAGTCGTGACTGGGTCCGCAGTCGCATGCGCAGATATGGATTTGTTTATATTCCTTGAAGCGGACATAAATGACTGCCCGTTGACAGATCTATAGGTCTCATGAGGCGAAATCGTATCTCAACAATGTGGTTTATCTCCATATCGCATCGCTATGCGATATTCGAATTGATAGCGATGTTTTTAAAAGAAAGCGTAATCCTTTGTCATGTTGCGTTTCATTCGGACTATGGCACGAAATTTCTATTCTAATTCCTTTGGCGGGTATCGCGAACTTCTCGGCTCGATTATCGAATGAGCGGATGAGATTGGGTCGCTCGAAACCGTGTACAGGAGCCAATAAAAACGTGCGCCAATTATGGCGAACGGACAACGATGGGTTTTTCCGGGTTGGAAAAGCGTGACGCCGCGTGGCGCAAACGGTCGAAATCGTAACGGCATAATCACCAGACGAAACCCAATAAACAAAATTGTAGATGACAAAAATTAACCGTAGTTAAATGCGTTCGGTAATGAGACTAAACGGAAAGTGTGCTGGCAATTGCCGGGAAAACCGGGCGCGCTCGGACAGCGGCAGTAACATGAATCCCAATTTTCAAATCCCGATGTATAATCACCTCTGGCGGCCGCATTGATATTACTTTTCGCCTCGTCTCCGTCTTTCCCGTGCTATCCCCCTACCGTGAAGGCGATGGAAGACCAAAAGAATGGCTCACGAGGAAAGATAAACATTAGGCCCTATTGCTTTCTGTATATGATATGCTCTCTTAATGAAAATTATTATTTATTGTACGAGCGGAAATAATTCCGGCTCGTACGAGCTTTGTCTGCTCATAGGGGTGTAATGAAGTCGTTGAATTCGTTCTCCCAATGGCTACAATTAAAAATGGCGTTCGTTTGTCGGATAATAACAATAAGATTTAATATTATACTTGGATTATCTTGGTTTAAATTATGCAACACACCGAAGGAATATACAATTATTTGATACAATAAATTAACCTATATAGCTTTATTAAATCATATCTATGTACGTAGGTACTGGATGAAAATTTAGCAAATGGTCAATTAATGAACGAACTGCTAATCCTGAGAATAGGTTATCGAATGGATAATGGATCGAAAACAAGGGGAGGTATCAAAGTCACCCGGTCGTCCCGCGGAATTTCTTGCCGAAGAAAACTTTCCCGATAAATTAGCTAAAACAGTTAATGTTGTTTAACCTCCTTGATCTTCGGGCGTTATCTGCCGAACCGAAGATGATAACGCCGAAAGGTAGGACTAGGAGCGTAATACGCGAGCAATCCATTACGAGCAACGTGGTCGTACGCCGTTGTACACGGGGTCGATCTTTCGTTGCACCCGATTCATCCATTTTGCCAGGCGATGCAGGTTACCAGGCCAGGATTTTCCAATCAAAAGTTTTCTATTGTGCTTTCGACTGGATGGTGAAAGTAGTTATTGTATTTCAAAAGATGACCAAATAGGGTTATGACAATATAATGAAGAACTTGGTAGGTACTACTTGGAAATAATTCTAATATATGATTCTTAAAACTCTTAAAAATGATTAGAATGATGTAACAGTGGTCGGAGATGGGATGGGGAAAGGTAAATGTTTGAGCAGTGCGGTCCTGAGCGTAGGAAATCAACGACGCTGGGGCGACTTAACCTAAACTGTACTAAATTATAAAGTTATTACGACAGCACAGATCTCCGCGTTGATAGTGTGATGTTGCTTTAATTAATCTAGAATATATCGCGCGTGTGGGCCGGATCAAAGAGCGCCGTCTCCGTCTCGCTAGCGGGATAACGAACGCTGTTTCGGTCTTATCAATCCTTATAGGTGTCCCCTGCGAGATTTATGGGGAATAATTCGAGAAACTGATGAGAATTCTAGAGTGTGAAAGTTATGATTTAGGGTACTTTTACCAACTCGGGGACGAGGGTAAATATATTGAAATATGCCCGATTGTATCTAATTGATGATAAAAAATTATCTCATTTATTTCGATATTAACGTTTATTTGCCGCGTTTTCGCGTGAGTTAGCAACTCCACTGGCGAAACCACCGAACTGTCGAGGAATAAGTCTTCATCTCGGAGAAGTTGCCGCGTTATTTGTTCTCGTTGATGCGTTTGAAGTCTTAGGGGTGGGATTTTACGCGGGGATTTAGAAAGGGTTCGTGATGAGGATGTGCTGCGGCTTTCGACACCTTTATTTACAGGAATCTGCGGTGTCGTTGATGAAGTTTTATACACCCGACGTAACCGAGAAAAAAAACTTTTGCTCCAAAATCGTAGATATTTCGGATAAAACGATGCCGCAAGTGTATGTATATGTTATCTGAAAGGGGAAGCATTATATTAACAAACAGTCGAGTTAATAGGAAGTAATGAATACATTCCGGAGTGTTATAGCGCGGATTATACACCGACCATCAAGTTCGCTTGCCAGCGACATCAATCAACGGTCCTTCGAGCCCCGGAGAACTCCCCCATTCCCCAGCGACCCTGCTCCCCGTCCCGGAGCAGCGACTTAACGTTTCATCACCGCTCCGGATTAACCGCCATTCCGTCCGGATTTTCTAATTGTAACCAACGCCGGAAGCGCCTACTTTTTTTATCGATATATTCCTAATTTATTCCATTAAGAAAGTTCTCCGTCCGTCAGGCAATCCGCCGGAATTTATGCTTCACGTGCAGACGGGAGCCAATTAAAGTAATCAGGGTTATCACGTGGCCATTAAAAGGATTAGAATAGCGCTAGATGTCACCTCTACGACGTCGAGCGCGCGTATTTAAGCGAGCTTTCCGACCGCTCCTCCTCCAAGTCGGCTTAAACGCGGGATTCGTAATTGCCGGGAAATATCAGCAAAGGTAACGACAACTTCGCTACTCAAATTTTATCTGAAAATTACTTCATAAAACTCTACATATTATTAAATTAAACAAATTTTAATTGTACACTAAAAAATACAAAATGTTTCTAAAAATATCCATTAGAAGTAAAATGCAAATGCAACTCACTATGGGCTGTTTTAGTTAAAAATTTCGAACAAAATTAAAAGTGATATTTTTGAAATAAAGAATGGCTTTGTGTGGTAAGGTGATATTGGACGGTTTTTGCTCTACCCTGCCTGGAAAATCGGCAGGGAAACGCGTCGGGTAATGGCAAAAGTCGACAGAAGATCCGCCACATTCAAACATCCTGCCAGACATTAGTGGGACTAATGTTGGAATATATTACAGGCAGAAATGGGAATCAAGGGCCCTGTCCCACATAAATTACACAGATATCTTCTTAATACGTGCCTGCCAACCGTAGATTCCAGCAATATTGTCAATTTTAAGCCGTCTGCTGTCACAATTCCGACTTTCTTTCTCCGCGTAGGCTAATTAAGTTGAGCCGCGGAAATTCGGCGTTACAAACGAAGGAATTAATCCGCGACCTCTGATGGCAATTACCTATACCTAAATTTAATTAATTACAAATTATAATTAGCCGCACATTAATTAGTAACAACCCCCACAAAACGGTATAATTTGTTAAAAGAGCGTGGAAAAGGACGACGTAAAAAGCCTCGGAGAAAAATCGCAGGAATTGCGGAAAGTGCACGGA